GATAAATTTATATAATTATACATTTTACAAAAATTGAAGGTTTATCTCTTTGAAATATTTTTCAATTTGTTCTTGTATATACTCAAACCAAAAAAATAATTCCATTATCTAAAAATAAACATGAAAAATAATAAATACTACATATTAATTTATTGTTAAGTATTTTTTTCAAGCAATCTAACTGTAAATAAATTATTACGTTGCCCACTTAATAGTTATTTAAATTCTTATACAATATTTCACTTAGTCTAGTCTCATAGCCCAATCAGAACATCATATATTTGATACGAGCGTACTTAAGCACAGTCAACATACATACATATAAATCGATACATACCTCTATCCCTCCCTTTCCCTCTACCGCATATTTTCATCAATATACTATCTTCGTGTTTTGTTATATCTCTTGCGGAACGAAAACATGTGAACAAATATTCATTTAAACAATGGACTTCTCAGGTAGACAGCTATAAATAGAAATCGAACGCAGTTCAGTTACCTGAAGGTGTCTATTTTTACCAGCGAAACCAGTGGGGCGCCGTGGCTTAGTTGGTTAAAGCGCCTGTCTAGTAAACAGGAGATCGTGAGTTCGAATCTCGCCGGGGCCTTCAGTAGATTAAATCTACTAAAATTCATTTTTTTTTTTTTATTTAATATAGTTTTTGCTACAATTTATCTATATGCAAAGTCTGCCTAATGTTAATGAAACAGTCCTTAAATTAGTTTAATTCACAACTGGTTGGTGCACATGCTAAAGCTTTTTTATGTGGAAGCTTTCAGAAGTACGTCTGGCCTCTAGTCCTGATAGACCAGATACAGGACAACAATCATGAAGTACGTGGGTCGCTCGTAAACCAGTTGCGTAAAATTATCCCGCTTCTCATCCATCAGATGGCACATTCGCTGATAGATGCCCTGATTTTGTTTCTCCACAATCGAGAGCAGACACACGATGCGATGGCTGTAAAGTATTTATATAGATTTCGTTTTTGATGGGTTCAACTGGGCTACCGATTTGTGGTTTATAATCTGTACAACACTTACCGCCTGTGGTTTAGCTTCTTGACCCGATCCCGTATCTCGGCCGCGAGACTCTCGACCAGCTGCAGCGCGCGCCAAGAGTCGAAATTGCGACTGAACCGATCCCACAGCAGACGCTCCTCAATGCAATCCTCGATGATTTTATGGGCACGTTCCATATTGAAATTGGTATGAAAGAATTTCCAATCATTTTTCGGCTTCTCCTTACGCTCGCCGCCCTCGCCACTTCCACCGGCAGCTCCACCGCCTTCGTACAGGTCAGAACTCTGCAGCGCTCGCCGTCGACTCAACATGGATTCGGAGAGCAACGCATTCATTCGATTGGTGGTCCGCACCGAGGCGGTGATGCTGCAGTTGAAAATGGAAAGCTAAAGGTGTTAATTAAAGCAAACGAGCACATACCGCGTCTTCATCGCGGTCCAGGTGGACATGGCCGGAGTGCCAGACATAAGTATACTAGATATATATTATATATATAAGATATTGGCTAAAGTTAAACAAATTCCATGCACTGCTATCTGCACACTGACAGCCACAATGACGATGACGATGTCTCGGCACTGACATGCCGACACGCCGAGCACATCAGCCTGTCGGGCTGCCCCCCGCTGGCTCCTATATAGTACATATATAGTTGGATCGGAATTTTGTTGGTTTTGGAGGCAAACTCTTCCGGCTTGCGTGCCGCTTATCATAAAGTCAAAGGCAGCGCTCCAATTGCAATGGCGATGTGGGTGTCATCACCATGCAGAGGAGGCAACACACAGTCAAAGTGTTGCCATATATAACCCTCTCACTCTAGCTCTCTCTCTCTCTCGCTCTTAGTCCCTTGTTGGGGGTCGGGCAAATTACTTGAGCTCTGAGCCATGAGCACGCGAAGCCTTTCGAGTTGATGACTTTTGATCGGTTTTGGTTTGGAACCACCTTTAGCGAGGTGGCGCATCCGGCTGTTCGAAATCGCGGCCATTGTGTGGTTTACGGGCAAAGTTCAAGTACTTTGATTGCATTTACGACACTTGCTGAAACAGTGACGCCCCATGAGTTGAGCATAAAAATTCGTATAAATATCGCTGCCATAGCGTATACGAAGTTCGTGCTGCCGTTAACTGATAGTTATTGCTGCATATATTCCATGAACATAAATACATATACATATATTTATGAACTTATTAGATTGATAAAGCCCTCAGCCATATTTACAATCAAAAGCAATGCGCTATAATTGTGTTGGGGTAGTGCATGGGTAATGCATGCTTGTTTATTTACAGTGCTGGGCAGTCAAATAGAACAGGTTCGATAAATAGTATGAATTGGATTCAATTGTTTTGCTAGATATCTGCAGACGTTTGATTGATTTAAGAATTATTAATATTTATGTTTTTTTTTTTTTTAATTTCTTATGAATAATAATTATTGATAGAATTGGTAGACTTTGATTGATTGATCGGTTAGTGGAAATTTAATATATGTGGATAAAAAATACCTATACTATAACTATATCTATAACTTTTCCTCAATTGGCCTCTATCAATTACTCTATGTCCCTTGTGCTCTTTCACTCTTTTCATCACTTGTTCTCTTCCCCTGAAGTGTTATCTGTCTTACTTTTTATCCTATTTTCTATTGTTTCCCCGTTTCTTTTCCTTCACTCTCTGTATATTTCGCCATCTCTCGTTTCCTCTATTACTATTTCCTTTCTCAGCATTTTATTCTCTCTGTATCTCTCTTCCGTGTGTTATAACTATCATCAATTTTCCCTCTCTCTGATATTCTTAGTTTTTTATTTATTTTTTCTGTCTCTCCTTCCCTCTCTCTCTCTCTAGCTCTATCTCTCTCTGTCCCCCTCTCTCTCACACTCCCTCTCTTTCACTCTATTTCTCTCTCTCCCACATCTCCCACATTTTTTTCCTCTCTATCCTACTCTCTGAATTTCCCCATTTCCCAAGTTCACATTTCGGTCTACGTTTTTCCATCCCGACTTTATCAGAGATAAAGGTTAATATCTATTCCCTATTTCTATTTTCTCTCCCCTTTCTTTTCATACCCTTTCTCATACTCTACCTATTCTCCTTTCTCTTTCTTTCGTTTAAGTTGAGAGATTTTCGCAGGTGGGAATTCCTTCAACAGAAGCTACTATACTATCAGAATTATGGTGTTCTTTTTAAATTTAATGCTTAAAGATTGCGGAATAGATATGAAAATTAAATGAATACTAAAGCGTGTTGACACAGCAGTAGCCGTAGCAGCAGCAGCTATAAATCTTTTATTACTTGAGTAATAAAATGTAAATGTGTCTCTCTGTGCGTGTGTGTGTGTGCGAATGTGTGGGTATGAGGAGGCAACTAAATATAATAGAGCAGTCGAACTACATTCACATTCACATTCACGTGTGCTGCCAGCAATGTTAGTTGTTAAGGGGAAAGTTCCACTGTAATGTCTGCCACGGGGCAGTTACCTGGGTTTACTAATTGCCGAGCACAAAGTTTACGACACGTGAATATGTGCCAAAATTAAGGAGCAACGGTGGCAACAAATTAACCAATTTTGTTGCTGCCACCCGCAAACACAAGGCGAAGCTCGAAGCGCAAATGTTGACGACTTTTATTTGCATATAAACTTACGCTTGCATGCGACTCATCAGGCGCCACCAATTATGCTATGCTTTTCACTGACTGACGAACTGACTGATTGACTGACTGACTGACTGACTGACTGGCTAACTGGCTGACTGACTGTTAGCCGAATTATACTTTTGGCAAAACTGCACGTGAGCTCGTCTCAAATGTGACTGGCTTCTAACTACGCTAAACATAAAAGCGCAAAGCTAAACCCCAAAAATGGAAACAATAATAAGTAAAAGTGGTTTAAGTGAAATTGATCGCCTGGCGGATACCCTATAGCAAAAAATATGAGCTTTTTCCATTATTTCTGTGCAGTTTTGGAGAGTCTATACAAAATCTATTGACTGTAGCTCTTGTCTTACCCTCAAGTAACAGAAAATTGATATCGATTCAAATACTAATACTTAATTTTTTGGGCTATATAATCTTTATACTAATAGATACCAAAGTCAATTCACTTAGATATGTGAATGCATAGATTTATTAAAAACGCAAATAGACTTAAAAAATGAATATATATAATAATATAACCTTTGGAAAGAAAGCTTAGGGTGTATACAAAAAAAAAAAAAATTAGAGTCGAGGCATTGCGCATTCACTTGCTCTAACAGTAAGCCAAGGTGTTTGTTACCTTCGCCTGGAAAGGGTCTGCTGTACCGTACATCCGCCTTGAAAAAATGAATATGTATAATAATATAACCTTTGGAAAGAAAGCTTAGGGTGTATACAAAAAAAAAAAAAATTAGAGTCGAGGCATTGCGCATTCACTTGCTCTAACAGTAAGCCAAGGTGTTTGTTGCCTTTGCCTGGAAAGGGTTAGAGAATAGAAGCAGCAGCAGCAGAGGGTTGGGAAAGTAGTTACACCCAAACCCACCTGCCCCTGCAGATGGTATCTTCCATAGTTTCTGGCTTGGATTTCAGTGGCATGTCTAAGGACAACTCAGACTGTTTTATGGAGCGGCTCACATGTGTGTATGAATGTGTGTGTGTGTCGGTGTGTACATGTGTGTGCGTCGTCTAAATTGTATTTATTTTGAGTAATTTAGTTTATATTTGTTATATGCATATTATACACACACATGTACACTCACACACACACACACAAACACACGCTCAGCTAGGTGTGTGGCAATTAAAAACTTAGGTTACAAACTGTCGACACAGCTGCATGCAAAACCGTTTACTTTGACAGGTGTGTGTATGTGTGTGAGTGTGTATGTGTATGCGCGTGAGTGTGATCGCGTGTCTAAATTCGCGTTGAACATATCCACTTAAGAACTGCATTTAAAAATCCACAAAAATCAGAGCGCTGCATGTGAGCACCGTTTAGCTGTGTTAGCCAAAAAGTTTGCACTTGACACATGCTTAGAGCACAATATATGATATGTGGGTTAGAATATAATAGATAGAAGTGAGTTGCCAGCCATTACAAAATATTATAGATAAAAATTGTTATATCGTTTTTTCTAGATACAAAAAAGTTTGTTATTATATTTTTTATGCAACTGGAATTTCAAATATCAATGCTTCGATTATTCTAAAGCTATCAATAAAATCCCTCGTATAGAACTCTGTCTCTCAGTAGTAAAACCTAAAACTAATCCTATTAATAAAATATGCTTGAATAGTACCATCAATCATAATGATTAACGAGCTTCTTAACAATCCATAAATTGTGATAATAAATCAGTGAGAGTTTACAATGAACAACAATAAATAAATGTATTCTAAAATGCTGAAATGTAAAACTCTTAACTACGACTAAATGTTATTTAGATCTCCATATTAACTCTACAAGGCGCTTATCTAAAAAATTTGTATACCATAGTTCTTATCTAGGGTATAAGTATTTTTAGTTAATTGATTATATCAAATTCTATCTTACTATCAAACGGCCTTTGCACTGTACTTAGATGAATCACTTTGATACCAATAATTTTACTTTCTTCAAAGCATTTATTTCACTGTTGACCTCTTTCTGCCTGCTTAAAGATCAATTGTCTATTTTTTATTTATACATACATATATCCCTTGCTGCTTGATGGCTAGGGTTAGTGCACTAGTAATTGTACTAAATTTATATACTTTTTCTTTGCCCATGAAATACGTCTTATTTACACAATTGTATATTTTATATATACAAAAAACACAAAAACTTGTAAATATATAACTTTTATAAATATCTCATTAGCCACATAAATTTGCCCTCATACATTGAAGTCTATATTTCAATATTTACTTTCGTAGTTATCATAGTATTTTATGGGCAGTATTAGTTAATCTGCAATATATATATTTCATCAAACATATATATGTTTTGCATATTTATATATATTTTTTTTATTTCATTCACTGATTATGAAAAATACGAATTTAATTTTAAAGAATTAATTTATAATATTTATTATTTTTTACATTCTTCATTTTAACTTTTCTATATAGTATGACTGTCAAGAATGATCGAAATGATCTTTATCTAGTCAAAACATACCTAACATAATTCTTCAGCTCACCCGAAAATGATTCCAAGGCAATAATTGCGTGGCTTAAGTAAAATACTTTATTAACTTCTACTCAAACTTCTTGAACATTTATGGAGCATAGTATGATACAAATGGAACATAGTTAGGAACTAGCCTAATATCTGGTACGACGTTCATCGTTGTTAAAGTGAATGCCCAAAATTGTGGAGCATACAAAGGCGGCGGCCTAAAAAATGAAAAACAAACAGATTGTTAAGGTTGAGTCAATAGAGTAAATACAATATATATATTTTTATAGATAAGTGCACATACCTCAACGGCTATCAGAATCCAGCCAAATACCTTAACCAATTTCGTGGCCTGCTCAAAGAAATCGATCATTTTGTTTAAGCAGCCATCGGGGTAAACTGTGTGGGTGGACGTAGTAGCAGTGCTATTCGTTACATAACAGCTGGTTGGAATTGTTAGATTCGATTTCGTATAGTCGATGGGGCCTGTTATGCCACAACATTTGAACTGAAAAAGGAAGATGGATGATTAGAAATGTATGTAAGAGTGTAATAATTTATAAATGTCAATTTTAATATAATGTAATACATGGAAACTATTGTGCTGATACTTTGTATATAAGTATTTGGAATTTAGATATTTTCATCTTGCCTGACTTTAAAGACAATAGGACAATAGTTTTTTTTTTAAATATATTAAAATATTCTAGTAATTAAGAATTAAAAAAAAAGTACAAAAAGTCTGCACAGAATATCATATATTTTTGCTTGTTAAAAAGAGACGAATACTGAATAAATATTAAAGAATAAATATCAGAAATGTTCTGAAATATTTTAGAAACAAATTAAAGGAAACATTCGAATATTGCAACTATTCTATTCTATAGTCTTTTAATAGTGGTGTATACTAAATTTAAAAAAAAAAATATATAAATAATAAATCATAAATATAAAATTAGTCTTAATTGTCTGAAACTTACGGTCGTCTGAAAGATGCCCATGGCGTCCGTGCCATTCTTCTGTTTTTCCCAGGCAGTATTCAATTGGTCATGGGCAATCTGTGATTCATTAATATGATTCACATAGGCAAAGCACAGCACGCAAGACAGCACCAGAAGGATTAGCATAATAATGCAGTACTACAAAATAAATACATATAGAAATGAATTAAGAAATTCAAATAGGAATAGTAAAGCGAATTTACTTACCATCCAGGTGAGGCATGTGCTTTGTTTAATGGAGCCACAGCAGCCAAAGAACGATATCAGAAAGACAATCGAGCCGATCACAATGAAGACTATAACAATGGGGCGTGTCTCCTCAGCAACATCTTTAAGGGCAATAGCGTTGACTACAATAACGCCAATGCCCAAAATCTGAAGAATGAAACCAAACAAAGTTAAAAAACTACATTAAGTTCAAGTTGAGGAAGTCGGTTATGAAATAAGACTCTGTTCCACTTAGATAGGAGTATGAGTAGGGCGGGAAATTGTTAAATTTGGCTCATTTTCTGTGCCGCGCCCAGGTATCTATCTATAGGTAAATAAATACTATATACACACAAAGCTCATACATCATACGTGTGTGTATATGAACGCTGATAACCAAACTAAAAATTTTCTGAACTTTGAAGCTGACTAACCGAGATTCAGTTCGACTTAATTATAAATTTTTATTTTTTGTTACTCACCGCGCAGAGAGCATTGAATATGAACACAAGATATTTGATCGTTGCAGTTGCACAACCCATTTTGCTATAGTTTATATATTTATATATATATTTGTTAGGAGACTATAATACACGGTATCAAAAACCGATGCACCTGCTTCGATGACGACTTTTTTAGACTGAATTACTAAAAAACAACCGAGTGCCGCTTCACCGTCAGTTAGTTGCGATAATGATTCTACTGGGAAATTATTGTGCGACGGCATTTAAAAAAGGTGCGCATATAAATAAAAATAACACTGTGAGAAATAACATACTGCTAATGGAGAGAAAAGCTCTAAAGGCTATGCTTATCAGATATTTGCCTAAGCCCCCATTTCTGGTTAACTCAATTTAGTGAGTAGTGAGTCGTTTACTTGACTCTGAGCAGTACACAAACTTAATACATGCGGCTGCACGGACACGCCCATAAATATGACGAAGATAATTTCATTGCAAATATACCTATACCTAAGTGAGCATATCAAAATATGAAAGTCTAAAAAGACGGAAATAAAGACTGAAATAATAGAGTAAAGTGAAATATGAAATAAAAATATTTATATTTATGTGGAATATGAGAACCGGGGAAAAATACAAGAGGGAACATATCAAGTATCTGAATCAAACTTTAATTAAAATTCTAGTTATAGTTCACATGTGAATCAGATCTTTATGCATGCCGTCAAGAAAAAGGAAACAACTGAAATGTGTATGTATATGTTTTATCTATAAGTGGAATATAGTTTAAATATAAGTTGAAGTACCTTCTACAACAGATTAAAACTGAAATGGAATACGACTTATAGATTACTGTTTGAAGTGAAACGAAAATTGAGTGCAACAGATAATGCTGAGTTTTTTTAGAACAGTATGAATTGTGAAGTGAAATACAAGTGACAAATGGACGGACATGAAAGATGAAATTTTTAGACCTTGTACAAGACTACGACAAATCTGTATAAGTCATTGGAAGTAAATATGACTACATAAATAAGGCCCTTGAGAATAAAGTGATTGATAATCTCAGATAGTTAAGTTACATGTGATGGATTATACATTATAGATTGAAACACAATCGAAAAAGACACTCAAATAGTCTCAAGAGTTAGGGTAATAGACAGTCTTCTCTGTCCCTAGTTGGCGCATGACCCTGAGCCATAGACTGAGCGCTCTGTAAACTAATTTGCTGATAACAACGCTTGCTAATGCCGCATACACATACAATCCGCGATATTAAATGATGACAATGTGGACTTACTGACAAACTCAAATTTATATATGTATACATTTATACATATATCCATATGTAATTGTCTAATTTAGTTCTGTTTTGCAGCTGGCACATCTGGAGTGCATATCAAACATGCGAGCTAATTATTAGTTGAGTGGAATGGCTGAAAAATATCAAATCGTTACGATCTACCCAATCATATATATTGGAGCGATAAGTTATGCACAGTTGTTATCACTACAGAGTGATATCGCCCTATCAGCTAAAGCTGTGGAGCTTCCGAATGTTCTCTAAGCTACAAAAATGGACACAGCAAAATAATAACATTGGCGTGCTTTGTTTGATTTTGGCTCCATACATATTTTCCTCGTGCTCAGTTCAGTTAAACTGGTACGAATATTCGCACACGAAATATTACAAAAATGAGTTGCGGTACGAAAACGCTGAAAATCTCATCGTTCGTCTTGGATTTTCTTTGTTGTGTGAGTATTGAGCTAATATATCAAGAGTTATCAGTTGGGCAGATAGGTGTTACATGTTTTATACATACATCATACATTAGGTGTTTAGCGCACTGTCTATAGCGGCTTGCTCGTATGCCCTAGCAGTGTTCCCGCACAGTGAGGCCATTCGCATACCCTGCATATTGGGCATAGTGCTGGGTATACTGCTTTTCGGCAGCACCATCTTTGGCTGCATTGCGGCGCTGCGTGAGGACATTCGTCTTAATTGGATTGTGAGTATTACGTCTACTCGAGTATGCCTACAAATAACAATTATTTTTATTTAATTTTTATAGTATGTTGCAATTTTGTTAGCATTAATATGTGCACAAATTACCGTTATATTCGCACAACCAATCAACTTTCAGTTATTGGCCAATGAGACCATCTACAATGCCTGGCAGCAGCAACTATACAGCAATGACAGCATGTCCTACTATGAAATCAAGGTAAGACGAACTGAATTTGTTTTATTTCAATTTAATTACTATTTTGTCTTCTAGTATCACTGTTGCGGCAAATCGGGCCCTCTGGACTATGCCAATAGCAGATTACGCGTGCCCGCTAGCTGTTATTTAAATCAGAATTCAAGCATTGCTACGGATTTATATACAGTGGGCTGTAACCAACGACTGGCCACTGCTTATGTCATAGGCACTCGATATGAGCGCATTAGTGATTGGTCTGTTGTGGGCCTCGAAGTAAGTTTATCTATCTATCTACTCAATCTATGTATGTACTTGACTAACTAATTCAAATTGCAGATATTAACTGTCATAGTTGCCGGACTGTTTGCCATTACATTACAGAATGCGGAACGCAGACGTCCCTACCGCTAGTTTATACAACAATTGATTAACAATTTAAACAGTATTCAAAGTTGTACAAAAATGGTACCTATTGTTTTGTTTATCACCTAAAACCTCGCAAAGTTTTTCTGTTTGAAAACTAAAGAAGCTGAAATGAGCGCCACCTGTTGTGTTTTTAGGCAACTATTAAGTTAGTGGTTAAATTGTTATTTTTAAATATGCGTAAAGTTCTGTAAACGATAAAAGACAAATGTTATGAAATTATGAATAAAGTGTTAAGAAATGTAAAGCAGTAGCTGTGGTAGTAATATATTCCAATTGTATTAATAAATGTACATCTCAATGTTTAAATATCAGCAGCGCGACGCAGCGTTGCCACCTAAGCTTTAATATATTGACCGACCGCCACAATCTATCGCTCGCGCTATAGATATGTTGTTTACAAATATCAACACAATAAAAATATTAGCAGTGCGCTTAACTAGTTTTCCACTTTAAAAGCGTAGTTTCCAGCATTCGACCAGCATGTATTCATAACGTGTTGTCAATTAATACACACTCACGCACGCCGCGCATAGTGTAGTGTAAGGTGTATACAGTGCATTGGTCGCGGCCAAGTTCGACGCTCGCTGCGGACAACTCCACAGCACAAGCAAAATATAAAGAAGTGATCAATTTGTGTAGCCCAGCGAGAGAGGTTCGGTTATTGTTGCCGGTCATTAGCACTACGTATCTGAAGGCAACCACATCGTACACACGGACAACTCTCTTCCGAGTAGAAAACGAAAATAACGCTTAGCCATACACGTCAAAATGGGTCTGCGATTCCAGCAGCTAAAGAAGCTTTGGCTTCTTTATCTGTTTTTGCTGTTTTTTGCATTCTTCATGTTTGCAATTAGCATAAATTTATATGTGTCAAGTATACAAAACGCTGAAGTAGAGCCGCGGTGAGTGACCGAAAATTGAATATATTCCATTGTCTTCTATTGTTCAACTATGCGCATAGTGAAATTTGCACAAATTTTTGCCACGAAGTTGCAAGTAAACTTGGATTACAAACTCTAAAACATCATTACGGTGCAGTGCATTGCATAATTTCCTTCAAAGCAAATAAAGTTGGCTGACTAACTGGCTAAATGGCTGACAGCCGAGCTGGCTGACTAACTGACTGCCTGACTAAACGACTGACTGACAAACAATCTGGCGATTGAATGAATGACTGTGTAGTCGACCAGCTGACTGAATGGCTGAATGACTGACTAGTAGACTGACTGAATGGCTGACTAGCTGACAAAAGAACTAACTGCCCGAAAGGCGGTCGAGCTGACTGGCTGACTAGCTGACTAAGGGACTAACTGCCCGATTGGCAATCAATCTGGCTGAATTGCAGACGAACTGACTGTATTACCGGTTGCAAACTTTACTAGCTGCTTAACTGACTGGCTGACTATCTGACTACCAAATTAGCTGACTGTCTGCCTAAGCGACGATCTGACTAGTTGACTACTTCAGTAGCTTCTTAGCTGCTTGGCTGCTTAGCTGCTTAGGTGATGTTGCAAGTGGCTGTTGTTACACTCGAGTGGGTTGACTCGACTTCATCTTCATCTCCATTTCCAGCCTTGCTTTCGATTTTTTTCCGTAGCTATTTTGCATTTCCACTTGTATTGTTAACTGCCCAACATTGCCATTGTCATCTATTGTTTGTTTGTTTTTTTCTGTTTCTTATTTATTTATATTTTTATTTATCTCTGTCCGGTCCAATCAACGTGCGAAGTCATCCAAAACCGCCGCCAAAACGACGCTCACTGTGGCCGTACAAAAACATTGTGGCTCACTATATTGGCAAGGGAGACATCTTCAGCAATATGACTGCAGGTTAATAAACCACATCAATGACACAATACACAATCACATCAACATCAACACCAATACCAAAAACAACTAGTAGAAATAAAAGCAACTTAAATGTTCAATGACTATACATTTGCAGATGATTACAACATTAACCAGTTCGAACCTAAACAGGGCGAGGGCGCCGATGGCCGACCCGTAATAATTCCATTGCGAGACCGCTTTCGTATGCAACGCTTCTTCAAGCTAAATAGCTTTAATTTATTGGCCAGCGATCGTATACCACTAAATAGAACGCTCAAGGACTACAGAACGAATGAGTAAGTAAAGAGTGGAAACTATTCACTTTCAACTAGGATATAAAATACATATAAATATGCCTATCTACCATTCTAGATGTCGAGAGAAGCGTTACACTCAGAACATGCCCACCACTTCGGTGATCATTGTCTTCCACAACGAGGCCTGGTCTGTGCTGCTGCGCACAATAACGAGCGTCATAAATCGATCGCCGCGACATCTGCTTAAGGAAATCATTTTAGTGGACGATGCCAGCGATCGCTGTAAGTAGCCGATGACTCATTGAAGTCATTACAAAACTAAGCACCTACGCTTTATTCTTGCAGCCTTTTTAAAGCGTCAGCTCGAAGCGTACATCGAAGTGTTAAAGGTGCCCACGCGCTTGTATCGCATGAAGGAGCGCAGCGGCTTGGTGCCTGCTCGCTTAATGGGCGCCCAGCACGCGCGTGGCGATGTGCTCACCTTTTTGGATGCACACTGTGAATGCTCGAGGGGCTGGCTAGAGCCGCTGCTGGCACGCATTAAGGAATCCCGCAACGTTGTCATTTGCCCTGTTATCGACATCATATCGGATGATAACTTTAGCTATACGAAAACATTTGAGAACCATTGGGGCGCCTTCAATTGGCAACTGAGTTTCCGGTGGTTCTCCTCCGATCGCAAGACACGACAAGCGATCGCAAAGGAAAACAAAGACAGCACGGCGCCTATAGCCACGCCGGGCATGGCTGGCGGACTGTTTGCCATCGATCGCAAGTACTTTTATGAAATGGGCGCCTATGATAGGGACATGCGCATCTGGGGCGGTGAGAATGTGGAGATGTCCTTTCGCATTTGGCAGTGCGGCGGACGCATCGAAATCAGCCCCTGCTCCCACGTGGGTCACATATTCCGGAGCAGCACACCGTACACCTTCCCTGGCGGCATGAGCGAGGTTCTCACCTCGAATCTGGCACGCGCAGCAACTGTCTGGATGGACGACTGGCAATACTTTGTCATGCTCTATACGGCCGGCCTCTCGCTAAGCGCCAAGGACAAGGTGAATGTTACGGAGCGCTTGGCATTACGCGAGAAACTGAAATGCAAGCCATTTTCCTGGTACCTCGAGAATATATGGCCAGAGCACTTCTTTCCCGCGCCGGATCGTTTCTTTGGCAAGATTATATGGCTGGATGGTGAGACGGAGTGCGCCCAGGCGTACAGCAATCACATGAAGAACTTGCCGGGACGAGCGCTGTCGCGCGAATGGAAGCGCGCCTTTGAGGAGATCGAGAGCAAGGCCGAGGAATTTATGTCGCTAATTGACTTGGAGCGCGACAAGTGCTTGCGTCCCCTGCACGACGATGCACCGCGCACCTCGCTGCAGCCGGTGACGGTGGGCGATTGCTCATCACACGCACAAACAATGGACATGTTCGTCATAACGCCCAAGGGTCAGATAATGACAAATGATAATGTTTGCCTCACCTATCGCCCGCCCAAAAACGGGGCATTCAAGCTGCTGAAAAATCGGAATGCAACGAGCTCCAATGTGGTGCTGACGCAGTGCATAAGCGATCCAAGTCAACAGTGGACCTATGACATGGATGTAAGTAATCAGGCGGACAGATTCTCAGTTAATTACAAGCTTATCTGTATTCCCTCTCCCCTTACAGACCCAACAAATTTCGCATCGTGAGACGAATCTATGCCTTACGCTCAAATCGGCGACGAACACACGCAGCCAGAAGGTGGAGAAGGTGGTACTCAGCATGGAATGTAACTTCAAGGATATAACACAGAAATGGGGACTTATACCGCTGCCGTGGCGCATGTGAAGCTGCATTTATGTTTATATTCTAACGAAATTAATCCCCTGCCAGCGATCTAACACAATGTGATATTTATTGAAATTGTTTAACGACCCCCCGACGCACACTCACAAATACGAGCAAAATCACCTGTTCGTGTATTTGTACACCGGGACACGCCCACTTGAATTGTTTTCAGTGTTTGCCTGGGAGCTTTTCTCCAACTTTATTGGTACTCTATGCAATTCTATGTCATATTTATTAAGTGCAAATTTTTAGGAAATTTTAAGGCGACACTAGACAAAACAAAAACAAAAACAAAAAAAAAAGAGTAACAAATACCTTACATTTTATATAACACTTAAATAAAAGCGAAAAATAACGTAGAAATTGTCACTGTGTGCTATCTTTACCTTGTATATTATACTCGTATATGTATATAGTCAACATAGATTAAGAGCCTCTGCATCTGCTTTAAAATGAAAGCAGCTGCTGCAGATTGCCGCATTCGCGTTCGGCATTCCCAAGATGATCTGCTGCTACACCACAATTAAGTACACTGGACTCTTGTCCAATCTGCTGTATATGGTGAGCTTGCACTTTGCATCTGTTGGCTATAAATTATTAATTAATTATTCTCTTACAGCTGCTGGCCATTGGCGTAATGGCTGCCGGTGGTTTGGGTCTGCAGATGGCGCAACCGAACACGCCGGAGCATACGTACTTTGTGGAAAGTCTGGTGCTCGGGGCTACGATCTGCACCATAATTATATTTGGCTGCTATGGCCTGGTCAGTGATTTGCTTAGCGTGAATATAATTGTGAGCTGAAATGATTTATGTCTGGATCGGAATAATATATGCTAATCTGCTTCACTTTTAAGTTTACCGGCTTCATATTGATCGTGCTCGGACTGGAGTATTTGCAGCTGCACAACTATCAGCCGCACAGTCGCTATAAAAACACCTCGCAGCAGCTGGAGCTGCTGACGGTCTGGCACGAATTGGAGAAGCAGCCGGAGCAGATGCAGCAGTATGAGCAGCAGCATCATTGCTGCGGCTACAATAATGCCAGCGACTACAAGGCTATGCAAATGCCCATACCCAAAAGTTGTTATCAGCCTGGCAGCGATGAGCTGCTTTTTACACGAGGTTGTCAAGCGACATTGAAGCATGGCCGCAGCCGCATCGAGCAGCGCGATAAGCTCTTTATGTGGTGCATCATTGGCCTTGAGGTAAAGCCCAGTCGCAGCGACCAGTTCACTGACCTTCAATGACAATAACAAATTACTTGTATGCACACAGATTTTCATACTGGTGCAGACGATTGTGTTGAGCGGGCTGCTTTATAAGCTGAGACGGCGCGAGCGACTCGCACGACAGCAGGTGCCGCCAGGTGTGCGCCGCGAGCCGCGCGCCAATCATGTGGGCTCCCGTACCCAGCTGCTGGACAATGTTTGAACTTCAACATCATATCAAATAAGTCGTTTATTGTATTATATCAAGAATCGTAATTTCTAGTAGGTGTAGCGACGCGGCTTGTTGGTCAGCTGACAGCACAGCGTAATTCCCAAAATAATGCCGATAATCTGCAAGAGAGAAATACATATTAGAGAGAATAAGCTCCAATTTACACTATGCATAGCTCACTTCATAGCCAATCAGTCCACAGTGCACCCACTTCTCAAATCGATAGATTGAGAGATGAGCACGCTTCACGGCCGACATGCAACCCTCTGTATAGGGATAGAGCGCATGCACACCGTCGACGGTATGGAAACAGCTCTGAGGCGCACGCATGGTGCTCGTGTAATCGGAGAAGCCCTTGTTGCCGCAGCATTCATACTGGAGAAACACAGAAATTAGAATTATGTAAATCTAATAAAAATTATGTAAATTCTTACCCTCTGCTCCAGTTGATGCATAGCACCGGAATGCGACAGCTCCTTCAGCCAAATGCCCATGACAAACTCCTCCGTGGTATTCACGTGTCTGGCCTCATTGTAGTGCATCAGTCGATAAATGTGCGCGCCTATCAAGCACACCAACAAGACCAAGTGCTGAGTATAATAAATATGTTAATTCAGTTCATTTTCATAATTCCTTTATCACACGCACCACCACCAGCACCTTGATGGAGCCGAGAAAAGCGCCCGAGCAGCCGATCACTGCGGCCAGGATGAGGGTTCCAGCCATGGTCAGCTGCCTGATCTTCTCGAAGTCAATGTGAGTTGCAGAGCCCTCGTCCAGTTTGTAGATCAGCTCGTAGACGCCGGCTAAGGCAGCCAGGCTGCCAATTATCTAAGAACATAAGAGAGGAAATTAATGATCAAAATAAAAATCATGTGAATTAATAACGCGTCATAAAATAAAAAGAAAAACACAAATACAAAAATCAAAATCAAGACAAAAAATTAATAAGCAAATACAATGAAAATGTTCGCTGTCTTTATGTCAGGCCAAAATAAAAGCAAATATTAACGCATGGAATTACTGGCGGCTTTATTTTTAAATGCCCAACGAGACACAGTCACACACACACACACACACACAATACACACACGCACTCATCAGCTCTCGCACACAGATATACCAAGTGCGAAAAATGTAGCAATAATTAAAAATAAGTAAAGTGACAACTTGTCTGGGCGCAATGGAAGCAGGAGATTTGTTTGCTGCCAAATTGGCTGTATATAAAATAAAGGCTAAATATATGCATATATTAAGCAATAATTAAAAGTAAAGTGATTGTTAACTAAATGAGCTTAATTATATATAGCTTCTATATATAGCTGTCCAGCTTCATCGAGCACATTACTTATACGCACTGTGTCGCTTAACGAGCATATTACTCATACGCAGTGTGCGTCAAGCGGCAAACTACTTGTTAATGGAAAAACTTGAGAAGAATTTGTATAAATGCTAATGAGCCTACATATGTTAGCATAGCGTTTATTCACACACATATGTTTCCATTAATATGTGGAGAGAAATAACTAAAAAAGTATTAATTAAATGAAAAGCAGAAAACTCACCAAAGTAAATGTATTGAACACCACGGCCGTCCATTGCAGACACACCTGCAATGTGGGCATTGTTGGCAGCGGCAACTAAAATTCTTTTGAAATATATGCTAAAATATGCTCTCTCTTTATTTATTTCTCTGTACTTTTTATATGTTTTCAAATAATTGTTTTATGGTCGTCGTCGCGCTGTATGTTGAATCTCCAATCCGTACGAAGACGCGCGCGCTTCTGTTAAGGCTTTTTCGGTTGCCACGAGAACTCAACTCGTTCAGTTTGAAGAATAAATGCGAAATGTTTACAAAAGCGTTGAGTGGTTGCCGTACGGTCGGTTTTTCTTTTTTGCTATAATTTTTTTTTTTCTCTTTCTTTTTGGTCGTTACTCAAGAGACACATCCCCGGCTGCTGTCCCGCCCAAGTCCCGCAGCGAGACGTCCGCAAGTTTCCCATGTATTTTTATATGCGTCTTTATAGGCAGGCGATATATCTATCTACTTAGACGCATCTATTCAGCTATGCTGTCTATATCTATAAGTAGTTTTGGAATATACAACACAACTACAACAACTATTCGAGAAAGCAAAGAAAAGAAAACACAATATACAAATTTATAGACCATTTAATTGGATCGTATCAATTGAGTTTCGTTTCATTTCGTTTCGCACGATATTTGTATATTGTAAAATGCCAACACTTAAGGATGCTACGTTTAAGTTTTCAATTGCATTATGAGCTAATGGCCAATTGGGAAACCTTTTCAAAAACGCTCGCGTCGCTGTTTATTGCGCACGGTGATGCCCAAGTGGGTGGCTGCGCCCAAAGCGCCAAGCTGGAAAAGATGGAAGACAGAAGGTAAAATGATTTAATATTCAAGCTACAGACGTTCACTTCCATGTGGAGAATAATTAAAAAAATACACTAACAAATTTAGAGAGTCAAGAAAATATGCAATTAACCATAAAATGATTTAAGAGTCGAGAAAGGAGCAAAGCTATGATCTCTCCTATGAATATATCTAGTCGACTATAATATAATGGAAAATAAAATACTTTCCCCAACCTTACTTAATAATCTACTTGACATATTCCATAGCCAACATACTCTTGCATATAAACATAAAAAATATTTTATAAAATCTATTCTTAACCCTTCTAAGCTAGACATAAATTATTCAAGCGAATTGATGTTAAGGTCAACTTGCCTCTAGCGCGAACAGCAGCCATTTGCTGATCAGCCCGTAGATGAGGTTATCAGTGGCATGCGATTGCACAGCCTCCAAGCAGCCGTTGCCATGGAGTTTACTCTGCAGTCTTTCCTTGTCGTCATAGCAGCTGAGTGGAAAGCCAACACCTTGCAGGATGTAGTCCTGTGGGCCACTCTGGCCGCAGCATGTGTACTGTCAAAGGACAAGATAAAGAACTGATTATCCGAATTTCTGTAATCCAACTCACCTTCTGCTCGATAAAGGCAATGCGCTCCTTGCTGCGACGCTGATCCGCCCATAGAGCCATGAAATCTGTGCGAGATCGTTCCACGTAGTCCGTGACGTGAGCTGCGACAATTATATAGACTTGCAAGCCAATCAATATCAGCATGCAGCTGACGAACTGCCAGAAGAAAGTATTAGGTGATATTCGATAACAAGTTCTCGCCACTCACGCTCCAAATTAGGCTCAATGAGAGCCGTGCGCCAGCAAAGCAACCCAGAAACGAGCTCAGCACCACAAACGTGCCCACAAAGATTTGCACCACAATTGCGACATGCTGAAAAGTGCCCGCCGAAACGTTGTTCAGCTCATAAACGGAGAACGCAATGAAGGCGATGCCAACTAGCTGAAAATTAACTGGGCAATTAATGCGGACACAGAGCATATAAATATAACGTATACGCACCGTTAATAACACATTTAAAACAATGAGCAGGACCTTCAGACAACCCTCGCGACTGGCCATGTTCACAAAACCAAAATCAATCGATAGTGCGTTCAATTTCCTTCAGAGCTTCTGCTTCTAATACAAATAATAAACACGCTCCAGCTCCAGCCCTTTAGCCGTACAGGTTGAATTGCGACTAAGCGACGCGCATTTAATTTTTGAAATTGTGGCGCCCCCTCCAAAAAAGAAAAAAGGCCACCAGCCCAGACAATAAGGCGAAACGACAGTCTGACATTCAGCTAGCTTTTTGCTATTGGTGGCTTCTACCAAGAAATCAACGTTCAAGTGTTACCTAGCACTGTGTTGTGCTTGCAATACCCTGTAAATGGGACGATGGGTAAATGCTTGAAGTAATTAATATGTTATTTATTTTTATTTTTATTTTTTTTTTTTTTTTTTTTGCAAATTGACTTTGTCGCATTCGGTTTTTATTTATTTATTTATTTTTTTTTCAACATTAGCATTAAGTCAAAGTTTTTATAAAAAAATAAAAATATTGAATAAAAAATAAAAATATTGTGTAATTATTAAATTTTGATTACATTTAAATTTTACAAATTAAATTAAAATTAAAAGATGAGGAATAATTTAATTTAATA